AAAAAAAAAAAAAAAAGGATTAGAAGATGAACTAACCAGAAGGCCCTCTTGAAGAGCTAACTGTTTTGCGAATTCAACTGCTACATCATTGGTTATCTGATAAGGAAACAAGAGCAACTCAGTAAGTCCAAAAAATTTTGTACTTAAAAAGTCGACAAATGGCCAGGTGAAGTTGGGTTTGAACTAATCGAACCACAAAATAGCGTAGAAGTAAGAGAAATTCATGGAGGAAAAATCATATCGAGTACAAAAACAATGGTACCACATTTAGAATGCTAACCCAACCTCTATAACTTCTTCCAACAGGCCGTTGTCTAGATTAAAACCTGCTCCAATACCTTAAATTTTGTGAGGGCCTGCGGGTTTCAAATTGCAAATACTAGAAAAAGTACACAAAATTAACTGAAAACTAGCATAGCGAAGATATTAAGGCTATGTTTGGTAACCAAATAAGCAAGCTTATAGTTTATAAGCTTTATATATTCAAATAAGCTTCATTTGGTAGGACGAGCTTTTATAAAAAGCTTGAGCTTATCTTATAAGCTTTTATGAGTAGCTTTCCAAATAAGCTCGTTGAAATTTTTATTTCAGCTAGCTTATCAGCTAATTTTACCAAACATTGTTATCATATAAGTTAGTCTATAAGTCATAAGCTATAAGCTCGAAAATCACTTATCAGCTATCATCTAGTTTAGTTTTACCAAACATAGCTTAATAGTCTTCCATCTTACCGGGTTTTCCACGAGACAATACATTGCTTCCAGCTGGTGCCACACCAATAACCTACGGCAACAGGGAACAAACGTATGACAACATAAATGACATGAAATTACCGAAATGCAGGAAATTACCGAATAAATAATTGGCCGTTATAAAGGACATTTTCCGAAAGTAGATACACATGAAATTTTCCATCAAAGAAAATGTATTTACCTTGACATTACGATTGCATTTTTTCAGATAACGACCAACACCAGCAATGGTTCCACCAGTACCAATACTAGCAACAAGTATGTCCACCTTGCCTTTTGTATCTTCCCAAATCTCTGGGCCAGTGGTATCAAAGTGAACCTGAAAAAAAAAAGGAAAAGAGAAAGTTGAATGTAATTAACATCTTAATTCCCTTCAAACATGACAACACACAGCAGATTAAGGGCGTGTTTGTTTATAAATAAATCCGCTCAAAATGAGTTTTTTGGATTAACCAGAGTTAATTTAAAAGAAGTTGAATGATTAGTTATTAGTGAGATTTTGATTTTATAATAAAAGAATATTTAATATAAAATAATTAAAGTTGATTTGATGTAAAAGTATGAGATAAATGATGTGAAGTGATAGTCAATTAAAATTAGGTAAGTTGATTACTAGTGAATTAAAGTTAATGTGATGTGTAAGAATGATTGGTTTGTATTATTTAATTATATTGATAATATTGAAGATAGTGAGATTGGGTCGATGATAAGTTAGATTTTGAGTATGAATTGAATGTGAATGAATTATTTTGTATACAAACATGCTGTAAGTGCTCTTCCTAAATTCAAACCCAACATCATATAACTGTATAAGCATAAAAAAAAAGCATCCAACTCATATTAAGTGCCCTTACAAGATATTAAAGCACACTATTAGAGAGTGTCAAGACTCAAGAAGATAACAAATTCATTGACGAAATAAGATAAAAACCCATCAGAAAAATACGGAAGATCATTAACGTGTAAGAAAGAACCTTGGGGTTAGAAGGATTCTCGAACTGTTTAAGCATGAATGAATTTGGGGTTTTTTTTCGTATTTCTTCAGCTTTTTGCAAAGCTCCTGGCATGCCTTTGGCAGCATCAGTTAAAACTAGTTCAGCTCCAAATGCTTTCAGAAGAATCCTTCTCTCAAGACTAATGGACGCAGGCATCGTCAGGATAAGCTTGTAGCCTTTTGAAGCAGCAACGAATGCAAGGCCAATACCCGTATTTCCACTCGTAGGTTCAACCAATATGGTCTAGTACATTAGACAAATTACAAGATATGATTCATGAAGACCAAAAAATAACTTGGGGAAAAAGAAAAGTTGATGCTTGGATACAATTTTTTACAAAAAAAAATCCAATTATTTTTAACCAATCACTTTTTTTTAACTCAAATAACTCAACTTTAAATCAATCACATTATCCTCAATATTATCAATATAATTAAAATAATATCACTCAATTATTCTTACACATTACATCGACTTTAATTCAATATTCATCAACTCACATTATTTTAACTAACCGTCACATCACATCATCTCTCTCCTACTTTTACATCAAATCAACTTTAGTTATTTTATTTTAAATATTATTTTAATATAAATTCAAAATTCCACTAACAACTAAGATAGTCTTTAGGTAAGACTAGTTTCAGGTAAGAAATACAAAGTGGAAGATAATGATCAAATGAACATGATTACATGATGCCATTGTAGGTTCAGAAGGATTCAGACGGATCAAACTGTAAAGTTAAATGAAGATAAAAGTCAACAGATCAAGTCATAAAATTCTCGAATATTTGGCCAGACTAGAAAAAAATAAATATTTGACATCTTACCTTTCCTGGAGTTATACGCCCTCTTTTCTCAGCATAAGAAATCATACGATAACCTATCCTGAAATCAAAATTCCATCATCAATTCCGAACATGACAACACTTTTAACATAATATAGACAGTTCTTCGATAAGTATATGAACGTTGAACGTCTCCAAAAAGCAAATGCAAACACCTTTTATATCAATATAGATTTCCTAACAAAATATATCCAATAAATTTTGCAAGTGGAAACAGGAAAACTCTCACCTATCTTTCACGCTGCAACATGGCTCCATGAATTCAAGCTTTGCAGCTATATTTGCGACACAACCTTTTACGATATTATTCAGGTAAACCATTGGTGTCTTCCCAATAAGCTGTTAGAGAAAAACAAAGATTCAA